GTTTAATTCTTCCGGATTCTTGTGAGTTGTAGAAGACGTGTAATGATTGTTGTCCTTTAGAAATTTTCCTTAAAGTAAAATAATAAGCAAAGGAGACATTACTAGAGATGATGTAGACAGGTGATATTTGATCTCGGAAATGAGATGAAAGTACCGGTTTGTATATAAATTTGTAGACAGACACATCTAGCGGAATGCTACAAATGTAGGTCAGAACAATTAGGACAAGGTTTTGTTGCTCTTTCATGTGAAGATTGAATAATTATCGATTCAATCAAATTGGAAGACTAATCATGTTAGTTCGATACCTTTAAATTTAAATGATAATGAAATTTTTGAGTTTCCTTCTTCTGTGACTTTTTTATCTATATTTAGAAGCGAATTGTTCTTCCATTTTCTAAACTTTCCTTTAGAATTTCAATTCGGTTTTGTCGTTCTTATCAATCTCATTCACTTTCTTATCTATAGAATAGACGAATTATGTCACGATAACTTCAAGAACACCTCTCCTTTCTCTTTGTCCTATTTTGTTCGAAATTACTATGTGATTTGAGATAATCATTGTCTTCGAACTCAACAAGTTTGTCCTTCGTGTAAGAGCTTATTCTTTATACCTCCTCCACACATAAAGATAGGGCTACTTCTATCCTTATACAGTAAGATGTGCCACACGACTTCCCACACGAAATTAAACTTGATAAATAACCTTGTAAAAGCGAGGGTCATCGTCTTCCAAATTCCAATATAAACCTCTGTAGGTATTCCCAATTGACTTCTGTCATTTCCCTCAACATCCAATTAGGTCAATACTCTTTTATGTTATAGGAATAATCTGCAGTATGTCCCAGATATTCCTCACGTTTTCACTCCTACGCATTTAACTCCATTCTTTTTTGGTACATGTTAACACCTTATCCTAGAAGTTAATTATCTGTCAAATTCTATACTCGAATTACTTTCTATACTCAATTTCCTAAAAAGATATATCAAATTCTACTTAAATTTATCAGCAATATAATTTAAAATTTTGCTTTGTTTCTGGCAGCAATTGAACAGAAACACGGTACAGTACTTTTAGATAATCAGATTGATTATTTTGTTTAGCAATAGGCCTACTTTCACCTAATTACATAGTTTGGTGATATTTTTCGTAAACGGTCCATGAAAGAATACGTTTCAATAGATCCTAAAGATAGGCTATGCCCCACATACGTCATCTACTGATAAACATGTTATCGTCAAACTAACCTAATATCAACTACAGTATTTGAAATCCTACAGAATTCTTATATTTTCAGGATATTAAAATGGAAATTTATAATATAACACGCAAATAAGTTTAATTATTATTAACAAAGTGTAGAGGTGTTCATCACTTTGATCAAATAACTACAGATTTACATGTATTAAGTATAATTATCTTTTTCAAATTAAACCTTTAAATTCTTATAATTTACTACATTATTTTCCTTATCGAAGGAGTAATTTTCCTTCCTCCTGATGAGTTTCAATCTTTCAAAAATACCTGAACATTTTACGATCTTAGATTATGTTGATCAGCTCATTCGATAAAAGTAAGTTAATGCTTTATAAGTTTTTATTTTACAATAAATACTCGACGATTTTAATGGAAAATGCTTTATTTAACCGTCGTTCACAGCTAATTATAACATAATTAATACTAAATTTCAATAGAGAGATGTTCTAAAGACGATCATTAACCATTGTTATAAGCTTACTCATACTCATTTATATATTTTTGGAAGCACTCGAATTCTTAAAGTACTGACCACTTAACCTCTGTAGTTAATTTGATAGGATTATGAAGTATATTTATACTCGTTTGTATGAATAAATTGTGTCGACGAATAGAAAAAGGGAGAATTTTGTTGAACTCTGAACTACGGTTTTAATAGGTCGTGAATATATAAATAAATTCACTAAATATTTCGATGAATAGAACTTGTTCTTTTAAAACTTGTTTACGGAAAAAACTAGTTTTATTTGAAATTTTAAATGGTTAAAGAAACGTGAGTTTACACTAGAAGTTGAAAACCGTTATTCTCCTGCATTTAGTATAAGCATCTGTCATTATAATAAACTGTTTGGATATTTGCCACGATTTCTCAAATACCTAAAAAACTCATTAAGAATTCACATAAGATTCATTTCCTTGGTGAAAACCTTCATATGTTACCTTAATGTTATATAAATATTAATTAAAAACAATTATAATTAGAGTTATGTCTATAGGAAGTCTTCTTAGAAATGAATTAATTAGTAAACATTAAATAACACTTTAAATTCTTTACCAAATTAAGTGTTATACTACCGGAAGTGGATGAAGTATTCGTCAACGCCTTCATTAGTACCACATAATCATTATAAAAAGGCTAACTTACTAATTTGCCTTTCTCAAAACAAAGGTAAAAGGTTCGTTTCTACAAGAAGATTCATAAATTTTCATGCGAAACAGACACGTGAGCCACGAGCACATGGATCAGAAATATATGAAAAATGCATATTTACGAGTAAACATGAGTTTTTCATAAGTGGGAAGGATGCATTTATATGTGCATTCAATTAAATAGCGCCCACATACATCACATCCTGTCTTGTAAGTAACTGAACCCTTTTCTGTCTGGAGACTTGTGAATCACACTGCAGATTGGGGCATTGAGAATTATAGGGCACGTTCTGTCTGTCTAATCATTTTAACAAGTTTAAAACCTTGGAAATTATTATTTATCTTATAATTTTCTGCCAACAATGACAGTTTAATTATTATTAACGCCTTTAATCGTGCGAAGTATTTACAAAAAATTGTTTTTTTTTATTTACCATTTAATAATTCATTTCGTTTATTCTTAAGAAAACAATGAATCGAAATAGATTTACTGATAATAAATATAAATATTTGAAAATATTTTTCAAACGGACAACCCTTCGGGCTCAAACCAATTTCTAAATCCGGATAAACAAGTCTAGTAATATGTAGGTGAATCGAATTTCTGTACAGGTTTCATGAGCATGGCCTTATAAAGAACTGGGTTCGTTTTAGAAATAAAAATTAAAAAACAATAAAAGAAATATTCATTTCTGCATCATTTACTTTAAATCGATTACTCGATTCAAGCTACAAATTTCATTGTTTTTATATATTCAATTATTCATAAAGATTTATTTCGTGCTATTTGCAACGTGTATTAACGAATTTTAGGGAAATTCAAATATATGTTAAATCTATTACCAGGCACCATACTGCTTCGATCGAAAATATTTTCCTAATTATTCAATAGGTGTCGTTGACTTCGCCTTATCTTTTGGTGGCAGCACCAAATGTTACGAAGCTGGAAACTAAACGAGTTCTACACTACGGTACGTATCCAGGCCAAGAAAACCATCTTAACAGACCCAGCTTTTTGTTCCAATGGATAGAAAAGCATATAAATTCGTACCCTATTATTTACCGTTTTTCTAGTTCTACTTTCCAGCATCATTCTTTTACCTAACTCCAGCGCGGTCATTTATCAGGTCGTGATATTAATTCCATATATATATATATATATTAAAAAACTAGTTCCTTTATTATAAATAGTAAATAAATTTCTTTACGAAGTGACTAGATATTAAAATTACATAAAAATGTAACGTACGTCTGGCCAAACCGGAAATGATTTTGTTTCCTCTATCGATAGAAGTGTATATACTATTTTAAAAAGGTGACATTCTATTATCTATAATTACTAAATTCGGTCAGAAATAATAACTTAATAATTACACATTATTTGCCTTAAATAAACTTGATAAATATCTATATATAATGAATAATCATAATTCATAAGCACGGAAATAACTTTAATAACTCTCATTGGGTCAGGAAAAATTGACAAATTTTCTATTATGTAACTCTTAATTATATCTTCAAATGATTCTAGAGTACATTTACGAACATATGCATGAAAATTTACAATTTTTCTCATTTATTTTTTAGGCTGCAATTAGTGTCAGGGTTAAGGGTGGTACGTAGAGAATTGCCTTGAAAACTATCTCAAACGACACTGGTTTCATAGAGAAACCTTGAATGTTGAGATAACAATGAATTGAAATGGATCTCAGATACAGAATATAGATTTGGGTTTGTTCACATCGAAACCGAACAATAGCCTGGACATTATATGGTCCGTTGAATATATTTCCTTGAAGGATTTCTCTTGATAATAGCACTAACAATACTTTATTTAGCATTCGAATGTAATATAATTGGCGTATAAACTCTCGAAAAATGATAAACTTTAAGCTTGTTTATTTACAGTTATCATAATTGTGGGTTTTGTTTATACCGTTAATGGTGTTGGAAAGTGTATTATAACAAAAATTCACGGAAAATGTGTCATTTAGGCATTATTTTATTATAAAATAAGGTATTTAAGTGAATCAACTTTCCCTACTTTCGTAAAATAATAAATTACACGTGATAATTATAGTTCAGTTATTATGAGATTTAATTGAACGTAAATGACATCTTTCGCTGTTCCGCAAAATACAATTGTTCTTTGTTTATATACAATGCTTAGGTGTCGTGACGGAAATTGTAACACCTTAATTAAGAAGCATTAAATCTAATTCCTTTACCTTTGAAAGTTGATTCATAAAATTCAACAGGCTGATCAAATAAAAATTGTGGTGAATCATACTTTCCAATATTTTTAATTTTACATGTATAAAGTTAATTATACAACATTACATAATGTACACCTATCACGACCAACCGATAAATGAATTGGGGTCAGCAATTTCAATTATATTTTCCTCTTTGTTTAAATATATATAACAATAAGACTATCTAAAATATCGTTAATCTTTACGATTGATCAGTTATGTCAACTCATTGGAGCACTTTAACGAATAATCACAATCAATTCACTTGTTTAATCAACGATATATGTTTCCGGTAATAATGATAAATATATTAATTTCCTGCCTTTTGAATCTTTCAGCTATTAACCTTTGGCCCTTTTTACAAGTATCTGCCAAAATATTTAAATGTCCGGAAAAATTTGGATACTTTCCAGACGATAACGAATGTACAAAATATTATATGTGTGTTTTTGGTGATGCATTCCACGAAAGATGTACAGGAGGATTACATTTCAGTGCCAGTCAAAGAATTTGCGATTGGCCAAGGAATGCACAATGTGAAAGTAAGTTTAATAAATTATTTGGTTTTTTACAATATTTTTACTGTTATCTATTTAAATCTTATATGCGTGCTTTTTCTCTTTCGATTTATATTTCTGTTTTGTTTAAAGGCAATAAAGTACCTTCAGAAAGTGCCAGCAGTCCAACTTATCAGAACACCAAAACTACTGGTTTTAATCGAGCCAATACTTCACCTCCTCGACAGAGACTTGCCTTAGGAAGAGTAGGAAGTCGTTATCAGGTTACAGAAACTTCTACATCTCATTACAACCGTATTTCGACGACTTCTGCGCCTCCACCAAGAACACCTACAACTTCTCGACCTCATCCAGTGCTTACCCCAGCTCCAGAAAGCCGTTATTCTCCAAGAATTGTTAACACTCGTTTAGTTGCTTTGACAGAAGCTTCTAGACCTCCAGGTTATTACAATGTTATCAGAAAATCCGGTAATCTTCAACCCGTAAATGAAGATGAGGAAGAGGAGGAGGAGGAAGAAGAAGAAGAAGATAATGAAGAAAACGGACGGAGTGTAAATATATACATTAGACCAGTTTATAATAAAAGAATTAATGATGAATCTGTTGGAAAAAAAGAAGAAAAGAAATCCGATCCTGAATCATTAGTAGTAGTGATGTCAAATAATGGAAAATATAAAGATCCTGATGTAGATTCTATACAAAGAGTAGCAGATAATACAAAAGCTTCAAATGAACCTTCAGCTGTACAAGTTAAAGCTGTTAATATACCAAACAGAAGCTATAATAATAATATTAGAAGGAGTCCAGAAAATTCCGGAATAACTCAAAATATACAAACACCTGACAGAAGAACTGTAGCCATTCCTTCTCGACAACCAGTTACACACGGATTTGGTAGACCAAGATCATACCCAGAGACATCAGCAGCGAGATCAGTAGCGGCACCTTCAAATGATAGATCTAAAGATGTTTCCCTCTCTTCTCGTCAAATTATAAATCCTATCTACACTAACAAAAATTCGATTACTCGTCCTAATCCAATTCGTACTAACGGCAGAACTCCATTGTTATCACGTCATGGTTCTACATACCAAGCAAGTTTAAGTGATTCTTCGGAGGGATACAGACAAAGACATCACGCTAATTCGAACAAAGCTGCAGAAAATACCAGAAGAGGCTCCACATATCTAGAAAGTCTTAATAGAGATAATGAAAACACGCGTCAAAGTTATGGTGTATATAATAGAAGAACTCCAGAAACAAATCGACAAAATCCATCTTACACTAGTAGGGATTCTTCTAGATACATCCCACCGTATTCATCGGATAGAGATGAATCAGAAGATCCTCCAAGTTCATATCAAGCAAGACCTATTTCAGATGGATCCAGATCACCAGGCAATTATCAACACAGAAGTCCTGTCATTCCGACATACACAGAAAAAACACGTCGTCTCCCCGAAACTTTGGCTACATCAAGACAAACATCATCTTTACAAAGAACAACCCCTGCCAGCAATTTCCGACAACAGTTATCTGTTTATCTAAAACGTGTGCCCGACGTTTCCGTGCCTTCGACATATAATTCTGGTGATAAAAGAAAAAATTCTGACGATGTAATTCCAGTCAATAGGAATCGGCCTTTGGATTCCGATGTTTCAAGCATTCCCAAGCAAGCTTTGGATAATTCTGAAACATTAGATGCTCAATATGGAACAAATCCCACTTCCGTTCGACTTCCAGATGTTCCAGTTCGAGTTCAATCATTTGTAACCAACAAAGATACTAAGAAAAATACATATAATAGAAATCAACAACCATATCATTTTGAAGAAGAAACAGATAAAAATTATGACGACTATCCAGATTATTATTTCGAAGATGACGAAGAAGAAGAGGAAGAAGTTGTTCATACTCCCCGTCCAAGAGTTTCTACTCCCGTTTACAGACTTCCTCCACCACCTCCTACAACCACAACCACCACTACTACTACTACTACTACCACCACAACGGTACAACCACCAATCACTCAACCTGGTAGACGTCGACTTCCATTTGGAATCAGTCGTCCTGCCACACGAGCACCATCAATATTTGCAGGAAGACCTCCTCCTCCAGCTTCTCGTCCAAGATCAGTTTACCCTACGCCCAGATATCTTAGTGCCGGTACCAAATGCAGTCCTTCTAAATGTCGTTTACCCGACTGTTACTGTGGCACAACAGATGCACCTCTTGGAATGCCTGTCAGCCAAATTCCTCAGATAGTACTCATAACTTTCGACGATGCTATGAATGACTTAAATTTCGAATTATATACAGAATTATTTGGAGACAGAAAGAATCCTAACGGATGTCCTACACTAGGTACTTTTTACGTTTCTCACGAATGGACGGATTATGGAAAAGTTCAAACACTCTATTCTCAAGGACACGAAATGGCATCACATGGCGTAACGTAAGTATTTATTTTCTAAAACTAATCTTCGACAGAAATAGTTTAAAATATAAAAAAAACTGTTGAATTTTTTACAGGCATAGTTTTGGAGAGAAGTTCTCTGTTAGTCAGTGGCACAAAGAAATTCATGGTCAACGAGAGATCCTTCATCTTTACGGTGGAGTCAAAATGGAAGATATTCGAGGAATGAGAGCTCCATTCTTGCAGACGGGAGGAAACAGAATGTTTGAAATGTTGTACGAAGCTAATTTCACTTACGATTCGTCTTTGCCCGTACCCGAAAGTAATCCTCCATATTGGCCTTATACTCTCGATTATTCTTTGAATCATCAATGCATGATTGGTCCTTGTCCAACCAAATCTTTCCCTGGTCTTTGGGAAGTGGGTATGATCATGTGGACCGATCTCAGGGGAGGAAGATGTTCTATGGCTGATGCTTGCTCGAATCCACCCGATGACGAAGGAGTATATAAGATGCTAATGAAAAATTTCAATCGCCATTATAAAACTAATCGTGCTCCTTTCGGAGCATTCTATCACTCTGCTTGGTTTAATACGCCTCATCACAGAAGAGCATTTATGAAATTTTTAGACGAGATCATGAAAAAGAATGACGTTTGGGTTGTAACAAATTGGCAAGCCATTCAGTGGATGAGAAATCCCACACCCATTTCTAAAATCAATGATTTCGAACCTTGGCAATGTGATTATTCCGACCGACCCGGTCCTTGCAATCATGCTAGATCTTGTCAAATTTCGTACAAAGGAGGATCCAGATCTATGAGAACCTGTCAACAATGCCCGTCGCAGTATCCTTGGTTAGGAAAAACAGGTTACGATGAAAGATATGGTTAAAATCTTCAAAATTACGCTGACATTTCGATCCGTTACCTACCATAATCTTACATTTATTACTTCATTACTAAGCATCGTAGTAAATATTCAATATTCTCATAATTCATAGAAAAAAATATATATAAAACTTGAAATGATGAACGTTAACAGAATAAATACGTTAACAAAATACGAATAAAAGTAAAAACGTGCGTATTTTTAAGAAAAAAAAAAAACAAGAAAAATGAAAGTGCCTGTGATCATAAAAAATTTCCCTATACATTCCCGGATTTATTTATTTATAAACTTTCTCTAAAATTCCGTCATAGACGGACGACCCCTTTCGGATATACGATCGATTCTTTTAATTAAGGATCATTTTGAATCTTGCCTATTAGTAGGCCATTTCGGTGTGGGTTTTCGTTGATCTACGTATGTGCTGGTATACTGTAAACACAGATCTGTTGCATTATGCGGGAGTTTCTCACAAGTCACAGAAACCCCCAGTCTAGTGCTTCAGATATCCACTGTTGGTGCAAGGTCCATCTGTTTTGTAAAATATACGGATTCCGGATTGTAAATAATGTGCTGAAGTGCCTGCATCAAGAGTGATGTATAGAATAGCATATTTTTTTTTTTTTAAATTACCGATTATGTAATTCTTTGCCATCAGTTGTTTACTATTTCTTTTCATTAAAATTTTTATATTTTGAGTTTTTTCAATTTGTAATTTCATGTGCAAGTCTGTCAAATAAGCGTAAAACATTAGCATTAAATATTTTAATTTGTGTAAAAGAATTTCAAACGGTATAACAAATTTTAATTGCAACATTAAAATTTCTAGCTTTTTTTCTTTGCTCTAAAAAAACAAGCACCGAAACAAGTTTGAAAACTTGAAGGTGAATAGTGGGTTCGGTTCTCAGAAAAGTTGTTAACTGAGTATGCAATTTGATAAATATAACATGAATAAAAAAGTACCGAAAAACCGAATAATATAATTAATTGAAAGCCTGAAAGATACTAAAAAGATTCTACATTTTTCAATTTTTTTCCACTATTATTAAATGTATAAGTTGTAATTTTTCCTGTAATCGTCAATCTAAACTCGCGAATTGTTTCGCCGTTAAAATTAGGCCTACATAAATTTTTATCTACATCAGTGATGTCCAAATTATGCCTCGGGGCTAAATCCGGCTATTTGACGTATCACTTATAGGCCTGCTTTTATATGGAACATACAAAATATTTATAGACCCTTATACGCAATTTGGCCCGTCAATCAAAAAAGTTTCGGCACCACTGATCTACACGATAAATTCCTGAACTGATTTATATCAAATGAAATTTGATAAAGTAATATTTGAATGTAAATATTCTGATGTCAAAGCAGAAGATAATTTTGAATTAAGATCCAAACAATTGCTACGAAGACTCCTCAAATTTCATGATTTTTGAGGAGTGTACAAGCATACAAAAATTTTTAGTGGCGGTTCCTTGTGTGGTAGACAGATAGTGGCAAATTAGCCATTATGCTAAGTAAGCTTAAGCATACGAAGGCGAAACGTTATTATAGTTTATGATGTAAAATTATGTAGAAGGCTCCGAATGTTGTGTCCAAAGGGTCACTGTTGACAAGCTGTTGTAGATGACCAACTAGAACAACTTGTCAGATTTTAGTATTCAGATTGTCAGATTTAATTTATATAAAAAATTAGTGTAAATGATGAAATATATTTACATTTAGGGGGAAAATGAATAAGTTAAATGAATTTCATATATCGGTAGGTTCTCAACCGAAAAAAATCTGAATTTCACCTGTAAACTGTTCACTGATGTGGAATGATATACGAATCCAGTATGACAACCGTATACGATTGTATCATTCGTTGAGTCTGGAATCCAGTTCTCTTCGTGACAATTAAGCCACCAACACATCAGAAAATTAGTGTTAGATGTCAACGGTGTCATCGCTGCCAACCGTACAAAGCACTTTCAAACAGTTTCAGAATTTGAAAGACTCAAAAAACCATTAGTAAATCACTATTTTCACCCACTACAATGCGAAATCCCTCACCACACGAATGATCCAAGATAAAACTTCGTGACAAGGAATTCCTTAATCATCCCACACATTCAGTTTCTATACTATTATAAAGAAATAGTGCTGGCCAGGAAATAAGATCAAGAAAAACTTCTTAAAAGAAAACTTTTCCAAGACTAGAAATTCTAAGTACCATTTACAACTTCTCACAACTGAATAAGATTTTATCAATAATTTTCAGTGTGACAATTGAATTTTTTATTTCCTAAACACAAATTCTTTTGTTCCTATTTCTCATTTTATATTACTTTCCCCAACTGTCCGAAATTTTGATTTCTATGCAGAGTAATTAAAGTATTAAGAGTAAATATATTTTAGATAAGAAAAATTTGCATCGAATAGATCTACTTAAGCAGACATAAAACTCAACCATTTAAAGAGAATCGAATAACCTACACAAAAAATCATAAATTTGAAGTGGACATTGTTTAAAAATATTGATAGTATCCTTATGCAGTTAAAAGAAGGATTATTAAAAACTGATTATACAAGAAGATAACAGTAAAGAGAGCTTAGTCCAGGAAAGTTTTTACTTTGATTTGTTAAGTATTTTAGTTACTTATATAAATTTTCATTACTGATTCAATAAGTTTTCGTCCTAATAAATTTCTCTTAACAGAAATTATTTAGGACGAAAACTCAAAGATTTTAAAAAAAAAAGTTAAAGCTCGGTTGATGGTCTTAATAAGTACCGAAAATACATAATCTATTTGAGAATCTCCAATCTACTTGAAGATTCACATGAATGTCAATTTTTTTTCTCCCCTTCTTTTTTAAAAATTCGCTCGGGGGTAGAAATTTTTGCAGTATTCGTGAAAATAAAAAAAATTGTGTCATTATACTAAAGCATACAAATCAAATATGTCATCGTTTATTCCCCGTTCATCCTCTGTTTAAATTCGAGATGAGATAGAAACATCCAACTCATCAATTTCAAGATTATTACCGGTTTAATCTTTGAAAGTTGTTTTTTTATTAGTAGAAAATAAATTCTATCTCTACCCTAAAGGTTTAACCCTGTTATAATCGGAACGTGTATATTCCGCGTGATATATTTTGCATACGAAACAACAGTTCTTTCATAGAAAAGTAGTTTTATCTCCCAGTTTTCTATGTAAAATTTTTTCACTGTTGGACTATTTTCAAAATAAGGCTATTTCTACAGTCAAAAGTTTGCTTAATTGTACCAAAAGGATTAAATTCGCATCACCAATTCTACATATGAAGCGAATTTTTCGCAATCCCGTTTAATGTATCAATGAATAATGGTAATTAAATGCTTTTTTTCTATTTAAAGCTTTCTTTTGTTGAATTAAATAAAGTATTCAGCCAACAGACAATTTTATGAAAAAATATTAAATTTTTTTTTCTTTATATATTTCTATAAATATTTAATATCGAATGATTTTTCAAATCAAGCATATTAAACAGAATACATTTTCAAAACCAATGGGAATAAACAAGTAAAATCACACACACAAATAAACTGGATATTGATTGATGTACAAGTATCCTGAGTTAATTATAAATATAGATATGCATCGATTTGGGACAATTTCTTTTTTACAACTAATCACATGTACTGCATCTATCACATCTTTCACAAGAAATGCATATCTTCGATACTCCTCGTTTGGCAAAATTGAATTTCGTTATATATTAGAATATCGTAACTTACGACATCTCAAATGTATGTATTCTCATCTCCATCCTAGTAGTAATTTTTTCCCATAATTTTATGTACACTTTCTTATTTTTCTTTGGCTTTTGACATATGGTCGTTCTCTTCTAGATGTGGAAGTGGGTATCTCCAATAGGTGAAGTAACTGAATTCTTCGGGGGCAGGAAAATTTGGTGCTAAATTCACGGTGTGTTGACGTTGTAGCGGTGGGAAAATGTGGTCGACGACATCGCTAAGTCGCGTGTAACTGAAATGATTTAAAATTTCCTAAAACTGTCTTCGTTCAGAACAATTTTTGCTTAAGAAAACAGTCACTTACGACGATTGAAAGGTCTGGATTAATTCTAACTTCAATTCGCCCCGGTGATTAATCGTGAAAATTCGTCCCATTGGAATATCGACTGCTCTGTAGGACCACGTATCCTGAAAAAGGATAATCTCGATTTTAATTATTAGATACCATATTGAGTGTTTATTTACTACAAACAAAAAGGTTAGTAAATGCAAGAGTGCGCCTAAAAAGGAACATCTCTGGCAAAATATACAAACTGCTTTCCAAATTTGGAATCAATTTAAATAAATAAAGTTTATAATTTAATATTTCTACCCACAAAATTTTACATTGCCAGGGGCAAGGTTAGACTATATACAGATTTTTATAACCAAAGAAGGTGGAGTCAAAACGAAATCCTTGAAAGTCAAGGTCCGGGTTGAAAGCCTGTGTATTGACAATATCAAAATGCACATTTTATATAACACACATTTTGCTTTTAACTCTAACTTTATGTAATGAAATCAAATCATACTTTACACGTTACATATTAAAAATAATTGGATAAGTAAACTGTAATAAGTTATCCTGTGTTTCAGATATTAGTTTTGTGATTGCCATTATGAAATAATTCATTTTTTCCTTTTTATAATGCAGAAGCACAAAAAAAATCTACTTAAGTCTCCTTATAGGTAAACAAACAATAACCCTCTAAATTTCTTTTGCTCCGAACTAAAAATATATCAGATTAGTATTGATTCACTTAACTTGTGCACTACTTAATATATTTAAAGTCTTAAATTTCTGTAACTTCTAAAAACATAATCAGAACATTGAATATTTTACTGCAGAATAAAAAAGGATCTTATAATAATACTCACATTAATTTTATTTCCAAATCCTGCATAGAAGGGATATGATAATGCTGGAAATAATGCTCTAATATCTTTTAAACAGTTTATTTTAAAATCTTCTGGTCGCTTCTCAATTACTTCTCTAGATTGTAAAAATCAAATTTAGTAGGATTAATTAAATCTGAAGATAAATTATTAAAAACACTTACCTATGGAGGGCATTAAAAAGGGAAGTAGGAGAAAGTAATAGAGGACCATCTGGTAGACATATATCACCTTGTTTCACACTTCGAAGATAATCCCTGGTAATTCTCGCTTGACCGATGGCACGAGCAGATAAATAAAGGAACTGGTAGCCATTATTTTGTATTTTGGAGAACAATTTAGCTACTCCTAATTGAGCCCAATCTTTACCAATAATGGGTAAAATATGACCAAGAACATCAGATCTAATAAAAAATATAATAATAAGTTTAAAATTATTATTATAAGCAAAACCTTTTAAAAATAACAAAAATTCTTACTTTGTTATTGTGCCATCAATATCAGAAATAATGATTTTATCATCATAATTCCATAAATATACATTACATACACATCTTGTTGTACCTTGATATGCAGTAGTTACACTAAAAACAACTTCATTTGGACCTTCTTTCAAATTTAAACTTTTCTGAAATTATTCAACAAACATTTTTCTTTAAATATTTAGAAATTTAAATGAAATTATTAGATAGTGGATTCTTTTATCTTACAATATTGTCAGAGGACAATCTAAGTGTCTTCCGATATCTCTCTTGATAGTATAATCGTTTGATCTTTGACTTTTTATTTTCAAGAATTGGTCCAGCATCCTCAGTTTCACTTGAAGTAGAAGCATAAAATTCTTCTTTTGATCTATTTATATATAAAGTTTATTTCAATATTTATGTTGATCAAGTATTAATATAATTAGAAATTTTAAATTATTTATAAGCTAGATATTCAGAAAAGATTAAAAAATCAAACATTTTATTTAAAAACTGTTCAATTGTTAAACGTTTTGGATTAGTTTTTTTTTTTTTTGACTTATACAAACTGAATACAAAAATAATTGATAATTTATAAGCAATCAAATTTTTCAAGGTAGAATTTTTTTTCCTCTATATTGGACTATTTCCAAGACATATTCCTACTTGGAAAGATTATACAGGAAAAAAAAAATTATTAATTCAATCATTCACAATTATTTATTACAACAACAATGCCTGTCACTTAAATTTGTTAAATATAATTTATAATACTTCTAAACTAAGTAATAATACTAAAACTAAATTTAACAATTTGTATGAAAATATTCAAATTGAATAAAATCCAATTTTTACTTTAAATTAAATTTGACCTTTATAACAAAATCTTACATTTCAATAATATTAGCATTGAAAATGTTTGACAATTCAAAACAAATTTAAAATATTAAAAAATTGATTATGTTTAAGTAAATGTTATATGTATAATTTTTTAATAGTCCTGATAACATTCCTAAAAGATTAAAAAATTATAAATTTATTTTTAAACCTAACAAAAAAGTTTCTAATGTCCTTTTAGTCCAATTGAAAGTCTGAAGATAATCTGTCAAGTTGGAAAATTAGTTTATTTCCAGTCAACATTAACTATATAAACAACTATTTATAATTTTTTTTTAACTCTTATTCTAAATGGGTTAACAAACTTATGAGTTAATAATTAAAAATGAATTCACTTCTTTATTATTTTATTTTAATTTTTTTTAAAAAATGCACATTTCAAATCTTTCAGATATTCATAATGAAAACTAAAATATATTTTTTTCATTAATAAATCTTAGTACCCTAAACCACATATCCTCTCAAGAAATCAAGAATACGAAAACTGTTTTGTGCACTTTGTTATCTGAACTAACATAGAGACTACCAGAGATGGCCCTCTTCTAATCTTGTCATGTTCTATAGTATTACTACTCTCCCAGTAAGTCACAGTAAAATCACTCAGTGCAATTCTCATGCATTTGTGAGAAAAATGAGTTTAATTTTCTGCTGCTGTTAGATAATATGCTAACAGCAGCAAAGTTGAGCAGGTAATGTTTCAAACTACTATACTGTATGTTTTAGAAGAAAAATAAGATTTAAACCTATACGTTTCTTGAATATGCATTGAATGGATTATTAGTGCAAAGTATTTTTATTTTTAACAAATCATTACTATGTAATAATATCATTTTTTTGCTGTGCAATAAAAAATTTTAAGTGGGCTTACTGTGAATTATGAAAAAGGGTAGTGCTACAATATCGATCAAATTTGGCAAAATTGGACAGGGACATCTCCAGCGGGTCTTACGAGTATTGTAAATGAGGGAGTTATTCAAGTTAAAGAAAAGTTGTCCTTTTATATATATATATAAAATCTTGTTAATCTGAAATTAATAACTAAATAATTCATTATATATAGTAAACACACATTCAATATAATTTATTAATAACTTAAATAATAAATTTCATTCATTCCTAGCTTTTTAATACAATTTTCATTTTTATAATTGAAATGTTATAAATTTATAAGAGAGTTTCTTGTCTCGAAAATTGTTGAAACTAATATCTCAAACGCTATAATAGAAATAATATTTATCACACTGCTACTGATAGCATCAAAAGGATACTGCTATAATCAGAATGCAACTTTATTACTGGTATGCATTTTGGTACACAAGACCCTCATCAGCCATATATAAAAATATATAGATATTACAACAAAAAAATATTTTTATATACAATTGAAATAACACAAAGTCTAAGATTTCATTACTACAAAAGAAAATTTCTCAAAACTAACCTGTTGTATACAAAACAAATTTGCAGAGAAATTGACATTAAATAATTAAAAATGAAAATTTAATTGACAGACAATATTATGAGCATTTAAGAACAATAGATGTTGATGAAAAAAATTTAGAATAATAATGAAGGAAGATTAATATGTAAATCTGAGTTGTCATTTTTACCCAATAGGGGGAAGGGTAGTAATAATCACACAATACTGTAATGTGAATTGTAATCACAACTGCTATATAGTGGATTATCAAGAGATTTTCTTATTAGATATTGTCGGCAAGTGCCTTTAAACTGGTGATATATAATTAAAATGTTTATAACAGGACTTAAATTATATTAATTTAGGCCTGTTTGTAATGTAATCCTCATAGTAATATGCAGTGTAGGTTGAAATAAATCTTTAATAGATCAGTCTATAAACTGATATTATATGTATACATTCATGGATTTTTAAAACTTTAAAACATATCTAAAATAATTTTTAAAATTTGTAGATTGTAATTAATGTCAATTTCTCTGCAAATTTGTTCTACAGCAAGTTAGTTTTGAAAAATTTTCTTTTGCAATGAAATCTTAGCCTTTTTGTGTTATTTCAATTGTATATAAAAATAATATTTTTTTGTTGTAATATCTATATCAGGGGTGGCCAACCTTTTGCATACCATGCGCCAATTTTTTGATAGACGAGTTCAGATGCGCAGTGGCGTACCGTGGGTGTTAGCCGCCCGGGGCGGAGAAAAATTTCGGCCACCCTTTAATCAGGTATTTCAATTTAAAAGATCAAAATTCAGTTGTGTGAAAAAAAAATTAATAAAAAATGCGGTGGTGGTGTAGTTACCCGTACAAAATAGTCCCGTTTGAGATTAGTGGCATACACGATTACGAATGTATCGTGTATTGTAGAAGCAAAGAAAAAAAAAAAAAAAGGTCAACAGGTAGCACTGTCATTTAGACGCCTGTGCACTGATCGAAAAATCGAAAACACTGTAATTTACTATGTGGAGAACACTCATTTTATCTGTAAAGTTGATTCCAATGAATTGTGCGACAAATGAACTTGCCAAGACAGACTATAAAAAATTAATTTTCTATGTAATATTCTTAATTGCAAAGAAGCCAAATCTGGCAATGTTGCTCAGAACTGACTAAAGCGCCACTTGTAATCGTCCAATGCGCCAAGTTTGGCGCATGCGCCACGGTTTGGCCACCCCTGATCTATATGTTTGGCTAATGAGTGTCTTTATTACTGGTATGCATTTTAGTACACAAGTTGCATTCTGATAATAGAAGTATGATTTTGATGTTACCAGTAGCAGTGTGATAGGTCTGTGTTATCTCTACTACAGTATTTTATAGCATTGTTGAAACTAATATCTAAAAGTTTCAATAAATTATTAGTATTCAGTTTAAAGATTTTTTGTACTGTATTTGTATAAATACAGTACAAAAATTTTGTACTGTATTAACTTTATAAATTTGTTATATTTTTTTTAGAAAACTACAGTTAAACACATCAATCAAAAGCCTTAAATTGTATTCAAGTAATGTTTAATTGGAAAAAAAAAATTTTCAATCTACAATTGGAGATCTTCAGGTCTGTACATTTAATGGTAGAATACAATTTAAGGCTTTTGATTAAAATGTTTATTATATCATGCCAGTTTACTAAGTGGCTTTTAACATTTTAAACTACACTTGAATGCTCCTACCAATAACAAAGTAACAGTAAAATGAACAAACTTAATTCAGATTAAGCAGTGTTTGGATTAATAAGGAGTACACTGTATAAATTTGACAGCAAATTAAAATTTCAAATGTATTGATATTTCAAAATGTTATGCCCTATTAGATTGCAAGCTAATGGAAACAATAAATTCACAGTTTTGAAGCCAATAAGAGAAGAGTTAATTTAAAAACATATTAATCTATGTGTGTTTAGAATGTAAGTCATTTGATTATTAATTAATTAATATTTGTGTAATGACAGGACAAAAAATCTGAATGAAAAATAAGCACAACACAACAGAGCACATAACTAACAACAAAGAATGCAGTAATAATTAAAACTAGCTTAACATTAGTTAGAAAAAAATTACATATCATTTAGATATTAATACTTAATATAAACTCTTAATACTTGAAAGTAGATTTTTCACTTTCATTTAAGGATCACAAAATCAAATATAACAACACTGAGAAGAAAGTAAATTATAAAGTATTTTCTATTTAGATAAAAAATAAAATTTAGAAAAATAATTATATACTAAAATTCAAAAACATGTAAAATTAAAAGCTAATATGAATGGACAAAAAGCAGCCAAACTGAATTTGTTAAAGTAAGACAAGACCTAATCTAAATTTAAGCAGTTAACTGGGAGAAAATCAACACTATAGGTCATGATTCAACAAATACTATTAACTTTCATTTATGTTTTAGGTTTCATTTCATCAATAAAACAAAAAAACTTATTTTCAATATTCAATCATAATAAATCTAATCCAATTAGCTGAATATTTAACCATTTAGTTCAAACACAAAAACAACAACAGACTTATATACTAGCATATATTTATTCAACAATTAAACTTAGTAACATGCAAAAAATCAGTATGCATCTTAACCACAAAAAACAATGCTGTCCTCCTCAACTTATTTTAATTTACAATTCTACAACTCACACCTAACACCATTAAAAATTTTACTGTACCTTCACCCTTATTTTTTCATAATAAAATCCACAATTAAAATACCCTAAGATTAACATATATAAACTATATCTTACATACAATTTTTCAAAATTTTTCACAAAATACATTCGTTTTTTGAAAAACAAATTTCATCAGAATCCTTTATTATAACTGCCCTGTTGTTGGTTGTGTTTAAACCAAATATTTCATTGATTATCTAAAATACAGAGGGCAGCATTTGATGTATGAATATATATACCATATGACTACTTGAATATTTGTTCACAATTTCTCAAGTATCTAACACTTCAAAGTATAAAGTAAAATTATTATGAATGCCTAGATTTTATTATTTAAAAAAAGACTAATATGAATAATAAAACATTTTATATTTGAAGAAAATATAGTTGAAAAAGGTTATTTATTGGTTTTGCTAAAAGAAATTGCATACATTTTCCTAAAAGGACTAAATGATAGAAAATTTTCTGTGTATTAAAAAGATATACAAGTCACTCGCACACAAACTATTACAGTGAAACTTCCATTAACAGACATTCCCAAATAGCAAACACTTCTACTTAATGGAATTTTTATAATGCCCAGACCCTTAAAATAGGTCATCTATAATATTTACCTCTAAATAGCAAACACTAAATAACTGATGTTGTCATCCATAACCTACCTTAAGAAAATACACAGCATTTATTTGGTGAAAGTTCAAAGATAATGTTACAAAGGCAATTTGCTGACCATGTTAAAGTGTAGGAAGATATTTAGTTTTCTTACATTTATGATGAAATTTATGATCTTAACAACTTTTTGGTGAATAAAGTAATTTTTAACAAATCATTCATTAAAAAAAGCAAAAATGTCTGATAAATTACACCTACTCAATAACTACAAAGTAGACAAACCACTGTATCGATTTTTATTAGTAACTTAGATCATAAATTATGTTATAAATCAAGAACACCAAATATATTTCTTACCCCTTGAAGTGGTTAGTAAATTGCCTTCATAACTTGACATTTGAACTCTTGTTGCCTAAACCAACCTTCATCCCTTCTGTTCATAATAACAGTTTGATTTTTCTATTTCATTACTTCCCCTCAGGTCGTTTTTGATGAATTAATAATTAATCAATGTTTACATTTTGTTGTAATTTTTATATTCCATTTAACTAAAGTATCCTATACAATCTGTTTACTATTTAGAATTCAATTAAAATGTGATTTTTACAGTAGAAAAGATAAATAATACTGTATATATATTTAGATTATATATGCCACATATAGATAGTTTTTGTTATTTTCACATTCCTAACACAAATTTTTGATGTTTTCATAATCCATCGTATTCTTCACTTTATAATGACCAAGTTAAAATACAATATGACCGCTGGCACGAACCTCCGAATAGTGGACAAACTTCTCGGTCCAATGGTATCTGCTATTTGGAGGTTATACTGTATATTGTTTATGTTAGTTTTTCCAAGCAGAAGCATAATATTAATGTAATGTAAGTAGAAATATGCATTATAATCATATTATTATTGAAAATGACACCAATTTGTGAACAATTTGAGAAAAATAAAATTAAAGAAAAAATGTATTCCATTAATTCTTTTCTTTGTATGTTTCTCTTTTTTGTTATTAATCAGATGAAAAAATACTTTTAAATTAAATAGTATTGAAAAACTTATAAATAAAAAGAAAAAATATTGAAATTTTTTTAATGATATCAATATAAATACTAAAAAAATATACCTTAGTCTGTTAATTTATTAATTCAAAGAAAAAAAATCAATCTTAATTATTTTAATTATTATTAAAATAATTTTACAATTTTCTGACTGAATCTCACAAAAAAAATTTGTCATATTTTTATATCTTATTTTACCTTCTGTAGTTATTGCATTTCTTTACAGGGCATTTCTTATAGGAATTTTATATCAATAGAGCATAAAAAACATAACATTTTACATTCTTTCTCTGATAATTTCACAAATTTTACAATAAAAAATATTGAAGAAATTAATCTTATATACTAAATAAATATTAATTTTACTTTTACCTTTAATATAAGTGCTGACTAAAGTTGCAAAGTTACAAATTAATCCCAGTGAAGTAAAATCTGCAATTTCTGTTATTTCTAGTGTTTTAATAAGTGAACGAAGTCTTTCTGAACAAAATCTAAACAAAAAATTTGAATGTATATGTTTAAATTTAATTTTATAAAAAGTTATGTTTATACAAGATAATCACTCTAAAAACATGAATATTCTTTTGAAATTAATAATTACTGTTACTACCATTTTCTACAGTTTAAAATATCTATTGAAAATATATAATATTTTAAAAATATTAATAAAAATGTATTAATCTATTAATATTAAAATTTATAAATAATCTATTCAAAATATTACTGAGTAGAGTTTAATTAATCCAACACCTATGAGACCAGAGTGGTGCTGATTACCCAGACATTTTTGTATTTTCATAAAATTTGATAAGTTATATGCAATTCTGAATGTTACAGACATTGCTGTGTATTTTGCACTAGCACTTGCTGTTGAATGCTTCTAATTTGTTTACACATGCTCTTTAATGAATCTGAAGAAGATATGCCTAACTATACTGTCTTAGGTCTAAAAAAAACATACAAAAATGTTAATGAACATATTATTGTACAAAATCAACATTAATAATGATTAATTTGCATAGAATATTTATTTTTCAGACATGTACAGTACTTATATATATATATTGATTCACAAAATTTACAATGCTCCAACAAGGGGACCTTATGGTCTCAAAAATTCAGTTTGGGATGAGACTTCGCAGGTTAACAGTATACTTCAAGGGTGTCCACCCAGAAGAATTGTAAAGCACACTAGCCAGAAGATTTCGAGAAAAAGGGCTCTAAAGTTTTAATCGCAGTTCATATACTGGTCGATTTTACNGCAAGAATTGGCATTTAGAGGGCAAAGGAAACCTATTGAACTTGTTTATTTATTAAGTATGTCAGATAAATAATCTATTAAAAATACATTTAAAGAAAGAATTAACTGATTGCCCCTGGAAGTCGGCTTCTTATAGAAACACAGCTTCCCTATCATCAAATGTCATGGCACACCCCTGAATAAATACTAGAAAAAAAGTTCAAAATACAATATGGCCACTGACATATACCTCTAATATACTATCATAAATATAAATAATATTTCCATAAATTGCTTCTACTTTACATTTTTTCTTTATCATTTCTTCATGAATTACTAATAGAAACACAGTATAAACCTGTTTATTGTACAAGTAACCACTTTGAAATGCATCTATACTGACTATACCATGTAACAATAACCAAACCACATTATCTTATAAGACTAAGTAATACGAAATTCTGATTTTGTTGACATATTAAAAAAGACATTTTTTAATTATTATTGTGTTTTTTTTTGACAAGTTAATTCTGATAATATGCATGATTACAATAAGTGGAATCAACTGTATTAAATAAGTTTTAAATCCTATTGAGCAACTACAGTATTCTAATTTTTTTGTATTAACTTGCATTTTTTGAACATCTATGGAAATGAAGAAAAAATTTAAATTTTGCATTCTTTCCTCACAATATCAATTATTATGTAAAAAAATCTGTAAATAAAAGCAGGTATTCTTTGTTTACATAACTAACAATAATAGTAAAAATAAATCTTTTGAAATTATTTTAGTTATTTATCAAATTTCTATTATAAATTATTTTTCTGAACCTATTAGTTAATACCTATTTGATTTCTGCATTATTGTAATTTTAAATATTAAAAGTATCATGTTTATTCTTTTTTTCATTTATAAATACTTTATACTTTGAGATCAAGAAGTTAATATCACATTATTAGTCTATATTTTTAATTAATGAAATCCTAAAACCTAAAAAATAATTTTCTGTAGAAAATATGAAAATCTTTTGTACAAATTTTTAAGTAAATTTTCAAATATGACATGTTTAAATAATTATAAACAGCAAAACTTTTGCAGTATTGTAGTTGTGAATTCATAATTTAAATTATCTTTTTCTAAGTTTATTTAAATAAATATTTAATACTACACATTTAGTCCAGACAGTCAAAAACAGAAAATGATATGATATCAAGCAAAGAAATAATTTATAAATATACAAGGTGACTCAGAAGTCAGTTAATCATTGAAAAGACTAAATTGCAATTAATTAGTTAAACTTAAAAAAACAAAAATACAATTTAATTGAATCATCATGTTTCTACCAATTTTGTAAAAGAGCAACGTTGTCCTAAATTCAGTCTACAAATTACATCCACAGGTTATTGGGAACACAATAAAAAATAGTTAATTGACTTTAGAACTATCCTATACATTTTTTATAAAACTATTACAAAATGATTGCTAAAAGTCAGTTATGTCAAATTTATAATATTTTCCTAAAAATATTAAAAGAAGATAGTTACAAAGCAAAAATTTTAAGCTTCAGCAATTAACAAAAAAAAAACAGTTTTTATCCAAATATATTTCTAAGTATTAGATAATTTTGTTTGTTAAAATGTAACAAAATTTCATTAGTTTAAGATTTAAAAGAAAATTATTAGATATTTATTTTTGAAAATTAGAATAAATTTTAATGTAACTTACTTGACTAGATCAAGTCGTCCTTTTGATGAATTACTTATAGCACCAGATGACTCAGCTGAATAACTTTGAACAGCAGTTGTGGAATTATAGTCTAATAAGATCTCTTTCTTCTCAGTTGACTGCTCTGCAGTTGTTTCTTGTTTTGTAGACTGTATGCTTGAATTTCTCTAAAAATTAAAGTTTTATCCATTTTATTAACTATTTATTAACTATCCATTTAACTATTTATTAACTAATTTTTAACATATTACAATGTTGTTTTATTTCTTAAAATTTGCTGTACTATATTAAATTTATTAATTTCATAGAAACAACAAAAAGTAACTTTAAATCTTAATTTAATTTACAGTTCATATCATTACATTATTTAAAAAGCTATTAATTAAAAACAGAAAATCAAGTTGGAAAGAAAATTTAATATTGGAATAAATGGTTAAAAACAAACATTCTATTTACAAAGTACAATGATTGAATAGGTTATCATCATCTAAATCAAAATGTTTAATATAAAAATACATGAAACATTCTTTCATTTAAAATTTGAAACGAAACAAAAAAAAATTTTTAACTTAGAAATTTCATGTTATATACACTGGTGTGCAAAAACTTAAGCAATGATCTTTTTTTGCTGTAACTCTGCTAGAAATCACCTGGGAGACAAAATTCCAAATACACACACAGTATTTTTGTACTTAACATTTTCTGGTTGCCATGCTGTTTCTGTGAACCAAGTTTTTACCGTATTTATACAATCACGCCATTTGAAAACAAAACTTCATGGTTTTCCTTATTAAACTGTGCTAATGATTGCCTTTTTTCTGTTTAATCTGATATATATTATGTAAGGATTCATTGATATAGTTTGGATTTTAGATATTTTCATTTGTTTACATTAAATTAAACAAAGAAAAGTTGATATTTTTTTATAATTGCATCATTTGAAATGTTTGCAATTGAATTTGATTAAATGATGTTATTTTTATTACATTGGATGTTTTCTAGCATTTGAAAAAAATTTATGATGATATGTCCAATAGAGATTTAGTTCTTGATTTCTTTTTTAGAACTCCATTCTGCTTCATCAGAGTAGCACTCCACAGAAAATAAATTATGTATAGGGTTCAATGTTTTTTATGTAATTTTTGTATAATCAGATAATAAATATTTACTTTTTGTCAAATGCAAGTATTAGTACATGAAAACTATTGTACATTTTTTAAATTTTAATTTAATGTTTGTTCTTTGTATGAATATCAATTGTGTTGCCATTTATGTTTATTACTACATAAACTTATATTAAATATACTGTAGGATAAAACAACTTAACTTTTAATTAATTAATTAAATCAAATGACAATTATTAATATAAACCAGATTTTTATGTAAATATTTTAGTTAATATTATTAGTTATTTAAAATATTTATAAAAAAGTATTAACATATAAAATAAATAAAAAATTATTAGTTGNTTTTAAATATTTTTCAAAAATTACGTTTTTTTATTGCGATTTCCGACCCCCCGACTTAATTAAACGTATATATAATAAAATATATTAATTTAAAAAAATTAAAAAACTATTGGAGGTCGTTTTTGACATCAGAAACTAGCTTTAAATAACTTTATCGAAGTAAAATCCGTGCACTACTACTTTAGAACGATGAATGAAATTTGATAAAAAAACTCCCATTAAAAAACAATTAAGAGTTAATCGTGCGTCATTAAAGGTATATTAAAATCGCGATAAAATATTTTCGCGCGGGAAAAAATTTTTGAAAAAATTTGGAGACTTAAAAAACATCCAAAAAAAACAAAAGTTTTTTCGGAGGGCCCAAATGCCCGAGTTTTATGTAACGCTATGGAACTTGCCCGAGTTATCTCGGGTTTTAAAGATTGCAGCATTACTTCTTGCCGCCTGCAGATGGCTGTGATTGATCATCTATATTCAGCAAACGAAATCAACAACGCAGTTAAGGAGACAAATTCCCTGACTTTTTGACAATTTTCGACAAATTCCCTGACTTTGACAATTTTTGACAAATTCCCTGACTTTTTCAAAAAATAATGAAAATCCCTGACTTTCCCTGTATATATGGCAATTGTTTAACAAGTGAAATTTTAATGAGTAAATTTGATTGTTATATAATAGAATCAAATTTGCCCATTAACATTTATGTACACAGTATAACTTGGGTTTTGCAACACACACTTAGGACTGAACTTTCTCCACTTAAGACAGACTTGTTAAAAACTGCCATAACACAACACCTGCTGATATTTTAAATAATTGTTATATTTTGTTTATAATTTTGTTCGTGAATTTGTAATGTTTCACCAGTTTTTGTTTTGAAGAAATTGTGATGATAGAATTATCTAAAAATTTGCAAAAAGTTATAAGATATTTTAATGCAGCAATTAATACAATTTGGCACTAAGAGAATAATTATTTTAAAATAATTATCACACTGTGTAATATTAAAACATTGACATAAATTTTTATAATGCTTTATATTTATATATATCACAAATCATATCAATATTAGCCTTGTGTAATTTAAGTACTGTATTTACTCGAATGTAAGGCAATCTTGCGTATAGGATGAAGTGTGACTTTAAAGTTCAAAATAAAATAACAAATAAAATAGCAAATGCATGTAAATACACATTGTCCCACAAAAATTACTGGCATTTTAAACTTCAAAGAAAAACCTTGTAAAATCAACAACCTAATTTTTTCATGTAAAGCTGGACAATCAGGAACCTTTTTTTTTTTTTGCCAATTCTTAACAGTCTAATTCACTCTGTCAATTACACTTATGAGTTTCTTCGAATTTCCAAATAATCATCTGTTTTCACTTGGGAATGGATTAAAAAACTTATAATCGGGCTCCCATGTAATTTTGGAATTCAATTCAAAAGCTTTGCTTTTCCTATTGCTATTCACCTTTACTCCTGGCAATACACAAGAATAATTTAAATGCCCCAGATAAAATACTTTTGTTTTTAAACACCAGAAGGTGAGAATCCAATAAAATATGCAAATACATAGTTTATAAAAATTATACAAAATGCAAAGAATCCTTTGCTTGCACATACAGGACAACCTAGGTTTTTGAAGCATTGAAGCATAGTGAAAAATGGAAAAAAATCCTCGTCTTATATGCGAGTAAATATGATATTCATTTTCATTAACAGGAAGAATTATTTTCCATTAAGAAAATAATGCAAAGATTATTTATCTTTCCATTTAATTGATATACATTGTGGTNATTTCTATTTAATGCAAAAATTTATTTTCTATTTTATCACTATCGATGTAACCAGAAATGATAAAACCACTGAAAATTACGGTAGACTAATTTTTTGTGTGTCTAATACCTAAATTGATCTAAGTTTTTATCAACTAAATAAAAAATTATTAGTTGTCAACATATGAAATCAGGCAATTATATTATCTATCCAAAACTATGAACATAGAAATTACAAGAAAACATGTTTAAACAATGGTAAATAAAGGAACCTAAGGCATACGTTCGTGAACCTCGGGAGAATGGAATAAATCAAAGCCTTTTGTTTATTGTAGTCTTTTACTGTAGTATTGACTGTAGTATCACATTGTAGTATTGATTGCAACAAACCCATTTTGCATGCCAGTGTATATAACATGTTTATAAACAAAAAAAATGTATTAAACACAAAAATAATCCATTATAAAATATTATGAACTTTGTTTGCTTATACTTTTGTTTATTTAATAGCATTTAATAGCAAACATTTGTTTGCTATTAAATGTTTACTACTGGACTTGTAAGGTTTTTATATGCTTTCCAGTATTCATGTTAGAAGATTTTTAAATTTAAGATATTATAATGAAATACTATTATTCAAAGAATGAAGTTATTTAAAGTTTTCTATACACCTTAATATATGTAGACATACATAGAAAAACTTAATTTTAGCAAACATCTGTACTTAATAAAACAAATTGTATTGATTTCTTACTTGTATATTATGGGAGATCTATTAAAATATATATTTTTAAAAATATATAAAATAATTTTAAAACCTTCAAGAGAGAAGTATTGATATTCTTTCAACTTAAACACTGCCTTCATATTAATGATGCTAACAAAATGGACAAAAATTTCTGATCCTTCCTAGTCACTAATTCTGTCAGTACAATTACATTTTAAATGATATCCATGGGAAAACATCATCATCTCTATCTTTGTTGCCATAATTTCATAAACTGAATGAATACCATTAAACTTGTTAAATGAAGTTTTCTTATTTCTGTTTTTAGACAATACTCCAAGTCTCTCTGCATAAAAACATTGTACATTAATGCCAGCATTTCTCTCTTGCAAATGAAAGTAAGGCATTAAGAAACACAAGAGAAATTTTGAGTAAGAAACAACAACAAAATGAAAATTAATGAAATAAATCACACGGTGGATAAATTGGCAAATTTCTGCTTAAGAAGCTTATATAACATAATTGGTAATGTCACATGCCTAGCTTGCAGTAGCAATGGTTTTGAGTCTCACTACAAGACATGATTAATTTAGAGAGAACTTGATCTGTGTTAACTTCTATTTTGTGCTAATTCATNTGGCTGTATATTTTTAAATATTTTTCAAAAATTACGTTTTTTTATTGCGATTTCCGACCCCCCGACTTAATTAAACGTATATATAATAAAATATATTAATTTAAAAAAATTAAAAAACTATTGGAGGTCGTTTTTGACATCAGAAACTAGCTTTAAATAACTTTATCGAAGTAAAATCCGTGCACTACTACTTTAGAACGATGAATGAAATTTGATAAAAAAACTCCCATTAAAAAACAATTAAGAGTTAATCGTGCGTCATTAAAGGTATATTAAAATCGCGATAAAATATTTTCGCGCGGGAAAAAATTTTTGAAAAAATTTGGAGACTTAAAAAACATCCAAAAAAAACAAAAGTTTTTTCGGAGGGCCCAAATGCCCGAGTTTTATGTAACGCTATGGAACTTGCCCGAGTTATCTCGGGTTTTAAAGATTGCAGCATTACTTCTTGCCGCCTGCAGATGGCTGTGATTGATCATCTATATTCAGCAAACGAAATCAACAACGCAGTTAAGGAGACAAATTCCCTGACTTTTTGACAATTTTCGACAAATTCCCTGACTTTGACAATTTTTGACAAATTCCCTGACTTTTTCAAAAAATAATGAAAATCCCTGACTTTCCCTGTATATATGGCAATTGTTTAACAAGTGAAATTTTAATGAGTAAATTTGATTGTTATATAATAGAATCAAATTTGCCCATTAACATTTATGTACACAGTATAACTTGGGTTTTGCAACACACACTTAGGACTGAACTTTCTCCACTTAAGACAGACTTGTTAAAAACTGCCATAACACAACACCTGCTGATATTTTAAATAATTGTTATATTTTGTTTATAATTTTGTTCGTGAATTTGTAATGTTTCACCAGTTTTTGTTTTGAAGAAATTGTGATGATAGAATTATCTAAAAATTTGCAAAAAGTTATAAGATATTTTAATGCAGCAATTAATACAATTTGGCACTAAGAGAATAATTATTTTAAAATAATTATCACACTGTGAAATATTAAAATATTGACATAAATTTTTATAATGCTTTATATTTATATATCACAAATATCAATATTAGCCTTGTGTAATTTAAGTACTGTATTTACTCGAATGTAAGGCAATCTTGCGTATAGGATGAAGTGTGACTTTAAAGTTCAAAATAAAATAACAAATAAAATAGCAAATGCATGTAAATACACATTGTCCCTCAAAAATTACTGGCATTTTAAACTTCAAAGAAAAACCTTGTAAAATCAACAACCTAATTTTTTCATGTAAAGCTGGACAATCAGGAACCTTTTTTTTTTTTGCCAATTCTTAACAGTCTAATTCACTCTGTCAATTACACTTATGAGTTTCTTCGAATTTCCAAATAATCATCTGTTTTCACGTGGGAATGAATTAAAAAACTTATAATCAGGCTCCCGTGTAATTTTGGAATTCAATTCAAAAGCTTTGCTTTTCCTATTGCTATTCACCTTTACTCCTGGCAATACACAAGAATAATTCAAATGCCCCAGATAAAATACTTTTGTTTTTAAACATAAGGTGAGAATCCGATAAAATATGCAAATACATAGTTTACAAAAATTATACAAAATGCAAAGAATCCTTTGCTTGCGCATATAGGACAACTTAGGTTTTTGAAGCAGTGAAAAATGGAAAAAAATCCTCGTCTTATATGCAAGTAAATATGGTATTCATTTTCATTAACAGGAAAAATTATTTTCCATTAAGAAAATAATGCAAAGATTATTTATCTTTCCATTTAATTGATATGCATTGTGGTACACAACAATCTTTACAGCATTTTCTGCCATTCTGGATTTTTAGTACACAAGGAAAAAAAATCAGACTAAATTAAATAATGATTTAATTAATAATTAAACTGATAAATAGTTATTTAATTTAAGATTTCATCCAGTAATGTTTGTTTAACTCATTAAACATTTAATTATCATATGATTACATCAAAAGTGTTTTCTTGAATATCTTAAAGCAATATAACAATCTTACAGCTACATAATATAACAATTTGCAATTCCAGTCAAATCCACACTCTCTGGTGGCAAAACTTTAATTAGGACAAATAACAAAAATCCAGCAACGAGTTGCTTAACTTTCCTGGCTCAACAATTAAAATAATGTGTGGGTCCCATCTGTTATATTTTTTGAAAAACTTTTTATAATTTTAATTATTATAAAATTGCAAAAAGCTTAATTTTGAGAATAGAAAAGGGTTTTATAAAAACGATTATAAATGCTAATGAGTTAAATTGTAATTAAGTCTGACCCTACTTGAGATTCAACACACAACCCTATTTAACTCCCCCACCCCTTCAACCACCAAAATTTAATAGCATCAATCCCCTAATACACATACCATTGCAAATTTCAGAAATTTTTGACAAAAAGCACAAAAGTCACTATGCTTCAAAGAGGGTGAACAAAATCGTGCCCCTCCCCACACAAAAAAAAATCCCAAATATTTTTGCATTTCTTGACATTTCTAGATCCCAGAGTCCAAAAATGTAAAAATCTTGAGGGGAGGTCATTTTTTACTGATCACTATATTTTCCCTCTGTTGTATATAATAGAGCCAGGAAGTAAAAAGACAAGTAACTTGTATTCTAAAAAATCAAAATGGCAGAAAATGCTCTAAAGATTATTGATACATTGTGGGGTACCACAATGTACATCAATTAAATGGAAAGATAATTTATCTTTGCATTATTTCTATAATAAAAATAATTCTTCCTGTTAATGAAAACAAACACTTAAAATCCTATCAATACAAGACTTGTATAACTTAAGTTAAATTTTTATAATGCTGTACATATATGTCAACATTTTAATTATGCACTGTGATAATTTTTTTAAACTAAATTATTTCAAAGACTAAATACTTTCAATATCAGTGCAACTTAATACATTCAAAATTCATATCAAATTCTAAATAAAAGCAACTTAGTTTAAGTTGATAGTTTGGTTTCTATAAAATCTTGTATTGTATAAAATGTTACATGTGACTAAATACCAATGCAAAGAGGATTCCATTCAAGTACTAACAAATTTGTCATATTTTCAGAAATGAAATATCTTGCAGCAATAGCAGTTCTAATTATTTTATTTCTTTGTGATGTAGACTGTTGCATCATTCAGATTTAACCTTTCAGCAATATGTAATAAGTTTTACACAATCCAAAATTTTCTCTCTGATTCTACAGAAATGAAATCTCTTAAGTGTCTTTTTTTTTCATTAGACATAATTTAGAATTCAGCTTCAATTCATAAAAAATTATTATAGTACAATTTGAAAATTCCCCAAAAAATTATTGTCATTACATGAAAACCAAAATAACTTTAAATTTATTAATCTTAAAAGTCACAATATTTAGTGGTCTCAAGAATAACTTCATTAGCATAAACTAACACAGGAATCATTCCAACAAAAAAAAATTGTTGGACAATCAATGTTTTATAACAGTCAGCATAAACAGTAGAAATTAAAAAAATAAAACATGTCAAATTACATTTAAGTTAATACAGTCAGCCCCCTATAACACTGTTGATTTTTACATTTTATATGAACTCCGTGTTGTACGAATCACTTAGATTTTACAAATACGTGTGCTGGGCTGAAACGGCTCATGTATTTGTATAATCTAAGTGACTCATACAACATGAAATTCATATAAAACGGAATTATCAACAGTGTTATGGGGGGGGTCGACTGTACTACAGCAAGACTTTTCCTACATGAAACTGTATAAACAAATTGCATTACTGTATATATATTTAGATCATGTAACGTAAATATTATTATTTCTAGATGATACAGATGTATATATATAAGAAGTGCAAACATAGTTACCTCTGAGATATCATCAGGTTTTTTTGTTTCAGTTTCTTGACTAGTACGCCTCCAATTCCACCAAGAGTAACTTTTAGTTTTCTTCTTTTTTGGCATATGAGCATCTATCAATTGACTAATTATTTTCTGAAAGATAATTTACAGAAATGATTTGATAAAATAATAAAATTTAATACCAATCCTTACTGAATACACAAAAATAAATAAAATATTATATACAAATCCCAAGTCTACTCAGAGAAAAATTGAAACAACAACAACAACGTTTTGGTCTCTAGTGGAATCTAAATCATTTGGCAATATGCTAAAATGATGAGAAAATCATTAGAAATATAATAGTGCTTATTCTAGCCTCTAACGGGATAAAATAAATGAAAATACAGATTTAAATCTATAATAATAATAATAATAAAACAACAACAATCTAAATCTTATTGAAAATGAATACAAACTTTTCAGTCCTGCAAAAATTGCAATAAAAACAATTAAAAATGTTATTTACTGAATGGTTAAGTCCTAAGATCATGTTATGCCAAAGTTTATAAAAACATTGTAAAAAATCTGTGGACAGAGATTTCGGATACCAACAATGACAATTGAAAAACATAAAATTCTACATCTTGTGAAACAGATTTCAGATTATGATGATGATGGATGTAAATGACAACAGAATGAGTAACAGAAAACTGATGACCATGGCAACCAAATCTGTACTGATAATGACATTATCAAAATCAAATAGTAAAGAGGGAAAACAAATTATTAAGAAACCAAAATCACCTACAGAAGGTGCTAGTGCATTAAAAATAGCATGTCTTTACATCAAACAGCATGTCATTCACACAACAGATGTAATGTGCATATGGGACAATACTGCATCACCACCACATTTTACTTCTGACAAGTTGACTGATTTTGTAAAATTAAATACCTAAGTAAATTAAAATGTTTAAACATTGTACAATTTTATTTTAGCATTTTGATGGTTACTAAGTACTTAAAACCCACTTAGAAAAGCTACTAATATAGTTTATTGTATTATACAGTAGTAATAAAATTAATGTATGTATTTATATTGCATGATGTAATTATGATTTTATTTCAAAGTTTCATATTTCTTTCATGCTTAATTTTCTATTTTATAAAATTAATATCAATACAATCATTTAATATATTTTAGTACTTATTAAACAGTTGTGGTTAATTATTTGTGGTTATTCATCAAAATAATTTTAGCAGTTAGACCTATACCTCTTAGAAAGTGTAAACTTAAGTTTTGTTTGTTCCCTTAATTTTTCAAAATGGCAATGAAATAAATTTGATATCCAGCAAGTAAATTTCAGATTATTAATTTTAACCTGGATTGAAGAAATTTAATCATTATATGAAACAATATAAAATAAATTCATTAAACAAAAAAAAAAAAAATATGTATAAAACTGAATTGCTTGTTTTTAATATTTATATATTAAAACAAAAATCTTTAATTCTTGATTAAAAAATTTAAATTGATTTGAGTAGGTATTTTGATTTGAGTAGGTATTTTTCAAAATACCTACTCAAATCAAGATAAGATGGGTTTAAGATATACAAAAAGAATTGAAAAACTAAATTTAGTTACAAATTTTAAAGTCATATCTCAATAAAAAATTAAATTTTCAAAATATTTTCTAATAAAATAATTTTTTAGTTAAAATAAAATTTAAAATTTATTTTTAATAAATAAAAACAAAATTTTAACATAATTTAGATTATTTTAATATGAATTATTTCTTACCTCAGGCAAAGGTCTTTGAAACATAGCTAAAGATAACAACATTGGTGCAGCTGTTTGCCAATTGTAATATCTAAAATTGTAATATATATTATTCTCTATTTTGCATTTTAAAAATTTTAAATAAAAAAAAAGGGGTTTGTAGAAAAATAATTAAGTTAAAATGTTTTTGCTAAAATTTTTAAATTACATTTGCATGTTTAAAACTTAAAAAGTTTCTTCAAAAACTTATAAAGCAGAATCCCTGTTAACCTCTGTTAAATGGGTTAAGACCGTTAACAGAGGTTCCATATTGTCTGAACTACAGAAGAATGTTTTGTCAAGAAAAGACGAGAAAATAGTGCAGTATAGTTTGTTCCACAAATTATGTCCAAACAATACACAAAAGTCAAAAGGTGCTCTAGAAATTTTAAGAATTTATCCTAGTAATTTTTCATTTTTTAAAAATTTTATATTGTAAGCAAAAATTTCAATTGTAATCATAGGTTTACATTTGATTTAAAGTACAACTTTTAACTTTTTCATTAGGTAATGTAAAAGATTAAGTAAGTGTTATGGTTAAGTTTATCTAATAATTTACCAATATATCCAAATTTAATTATTAAAGATACTCTAGGGATCTATATTATCATAGATAATCAGGACTACTATATTATGGATATTATTGATTTATATTCTTATTAATGTACACTAATATTATTGGCGCTAACCCTAATGAGAATTAAGGTTCAATTGAACTTTATTGGAATGTACACTAACTTTATATTCTTAAATGAAAAAGCTAGAGACATAAATATATTAAAACAACATAAATTTAATATTTATTTTGTTATGATATTTAACAGACAAAAACAAATTCAGTGTTAACTATGAAAATGAAATTAAAAATCATATTGAAATATTTTTACTAATTCATTTTTATATATATAAAATGTGAAATATGAATGTTTATATATGTGTACAGTGGTACCTCAGGATACGAAATTAATCCGTTCCGAAACTGAGATTGTATCATGAAAGTGTCGTAAGGTGAATCATTTTTTCCCATATGATTACATCATGTAACGTAAATATTATTATTTCTAGATGATACAGATGTATATATATAAGAAGTGCAAACATAGTTACCTCTGAGATATCATCAGGTTTTTTTGTTTCAGTTTCTTGACTAGTACGCCTCCAATTCCACCAAGAGTAACTTTTAGTTTTCTTCTTTTTTGGCATATGAGCATCTATCAATTGACTAATTATTTTCTGAAAGATAATTTACAGAAATGATTTGATAAAATAATAAAATTTAATACCAATCCTTACTGAATACACAAAAATAAATAAAATATTATATACAAATCCCAAGTCTACTCAGAGAAAAATTGAAACAACAACAACAACGTTTTGGTCTCTAGTGGAATCTAAATCATTTGGCAATATGCTAAAATGATGAGAAAATCATTAGAAATATAATAGTGCTTATTCTAGCCTCTAACGGGATAAAATAAATGAAAATACAGATTTAAATCTATAATAATAATAATAATAAAACAACAACAATCTAAATCTTATTGAAAATGAATACAAACTTTTCAGTCCTGCAAAAATTGCAATAAAAACAATTAAAAATGTTATTTACTGAATGGTTAAGTCCTAAGATCATGTTATGCCAAAGTTTATAAAAACATTGTAAAAAATCTGTGGACAGAGATTTCGGATACCAACAATGACAATTGAAAAACATAAAATTCTACATCTTGTGAAACAGATTTCAGATTATGATGATGATGGATGTAAATGACAACAGAATGAGTAACAGAAAACTGATGACCATGGCAACCAAATCTGTACTGATAATGACATTATCAAAATCAAATAGTAAAGAGGGAAAACAAATTATTAAGAAACCAAAATCACCTACAGAAGGTGCTAGTGCATTAAAAATAGCATGTCTTTACATCAAACAGCATGTCATTCACACAACAGATGTAATGTGCATATGGGACAATACTGCATCACCACCACATTTTACTTCTGACAAGTTGACTGATTTTGTAAAATTAAATACCTAAGTAAATTAAAATGTTTAAACATTGTACAATTTTATTTTAGCATTTTGATGGTTACTAAGTACTTAAAACCCACTTAGAAAAGCTACTAATACAATTTATTGTATTATACAGTAGTAATAAAATTAATGTATGTATTTATATTGCATGATGTAATTATGATTTTATTTCAAAGTTTCATATTTCTTTCATGCTTAATTTTCTATTTTATAAAATTAATATCAATACAATCATTTAATATATTTTAGTACTTATTAAACAGTTGTGGTTAATTATTTGTGGTTATTCATCAAAATAATTTTAGCAGTTAGACCTATACCTCTTAGAAAGTGTAAACTTAAGTTTTGTTTGTTCCCTTAATTTTTCAAAATGGCAATGAAATAAATTTGATATCCAGCAAGTAAATTTCAGATTATTAATTTTAACCTGGATTGAAGAAATTTAATCATTATATGAAACAATATAAAATAAATTCATTAAACAAAAAAAAAAAAAATATGTATAAAACTGAATTGCTTGTTTTTAATATTTATATATTAAAACAAAAATCTTTAATTCTTGATTAAAAAATTTAAATTGATTTGAGTAGGTATTTTGATTTGAGTAGGTATTTTTCAAAATACCTACTCAAATCAAGATAAGATGGGTTTAAGATATACAAAAAGAATTGAAAAACTAAATTTAGTTACAAATTTTAAAGTCATATCTCAATAAAAAATTAAATTTTCAAAATATTTTCTAATAAAATAATTTTTTAGTTAAAATAAAATTTAAAATTTATTTTTAATAAATAAAAACAAAATTTTAACATAATTTAGATTATTTTAATATGAATTATTTCTTACCTCAGGCAAAGGTCTTTGAAACATAGCTAAAGATAACAACATTGGTGCAGCTGTTTGCCAATTGTAATATCTAAAATTGTAATATATATTATTCTCTATTTTGCATTTTAAAAATTTTAAATAAAAAAAAAGTGGTTTGTAGAAAAATAATTAAGTTAAAATGTTTTTGCTAAAATTTTTAAATTACATTTGCATGTTTAAAACTTAAAAAGTTTCTTCAAAAACTTATAAAGCAGAATCCCTGTTAACCTCTGTTAAATGGGTTAAGACCATTAACAGAGGTTCCATATTGTCTGAACTACAGAAGAATGTTTTGTCAAGAAAAGACGAGAAAATAGTGCAGTATAGTTTGTTCCACAAATTATGTCCAAACAATACACAAAAGTCAAAAGGTGCTCTAGAAATTTTAAGAATTTATCCTAGTAATTTTTCATTTTTTAAAAATTTTATATTGTAAGCAAAAATTTCAATTGTAATCATAGGTTTACATTTGATTTAAAGTACAACTTTTAACTTTTTCATTAGGTAATGTAAAAGATTAAGTAAGTGTTATGGTTAAGTTTATCTAATAATTTACCAATATATCCAAATTTAATTATTAAAGATACTCTAGGGATCTATATTATCATAGATAATCAGGACTACTATATTATGGATATTATTGATTTATATTCTTATTAATGTACACTAATATTATTGGCGCTAACCCTAATGAGAATTAAGGTTCAATTGAACTTTATTGGAATGTACACTAACTTTATATTCTTAAATGAAAAAGCTAGAGACATAAATATATTAAAACAACATAAATTTAATATTTATTTTGTTATGATATTTAACAGACAAAAACAAATTCAGTGTTAACTATGAAAATGAAATTAAAAATCATATTGAAATATTTTTACTAATTCATTTTTATATATATAAAATGTGAAATATGAATGTTTATATATGTGTACAGTGGTACCTCAGGATACGAAATTAATCCGTTCCGAAACTGAGATTGTATCATGAAAGTGTCGTAAGGTGAATCATTTTTTCCCATATGATTACATGTAAAACCAAATAATTTGTTCCAACACGAAAAACACACTCAAATTAAAGCTAAGTAGTACATTAAAAAATAATAATAACTTTAGTAAGGAAAACACTGAAAAATGCATTTTGTAGTTGTAAATGTATAAATAACCATAATAGAATAATAAATTGATTAAAAAAATGTAGTTTTATTTCCACTTTACCTTTGAGGATAGATGACAGTGGAGGTGTAAACTGGTGGCAGAAGAGAGGGAGAAGGGAAATGATACTAAAACTTAACTTACATAACATAATGCAACAATAACTTAAAAATAACTTAGAAAACATTTTAAAAAAATTAGTGTTGTTTTATATATATATTTTTTTTAATTTTTATTCACTGCTTTTTGCTTTATTTCCTTCACTTCCACTAGCACTTTCACTGGATAGAGGTCGCTTGGTAAAATATCTATCCAAAGAGGTTTGGCTTTGCCTACTTTTTAAAATGTTTCTAAAATGACTTAGGCAAATGTCATTACTCCAAGAAGCAATACAGCCAGTGTAAACCTTGTCAGGATGTTTCTTTTCAATAAAATCAGTCACTTTCTGATAATACCTCAAGATTTCCTTTATCGAGCGAGATCCTTCCACGATGAAGCAAACA